ATTACTTTTTTAAGTTTTCAATTTTTTATTTTTTTAAATCTTATTTTTCATTTTCTTATTCTAAATTTTAATTAAATTCATATTACTTTTGATAATTTTGATTTTTCATTTATAAATTTTCATTTTCCATTTATAAATTTTTATATTGATTTTGTAAGTTTTCATATTGATTTTTTAAGTTTTCATATTGATTTTATAATTTTTAATTTTCTTTATTTCTTTGTTTTTTTTATTCCATATTTATATTTTCTTGTTTTTATTTTAGTAATATATTATCTTCTTAGTCTAAATCTAATATTTTTAGATTTTAATCTTTAATATTTTGGTTTTCCTCTTCTTTTAAATTTATATCATCCTAAATATTTGAATTTAAATAACTTTCTATATCTTCTTTTAAATATTAATTTTCTTTATGTGATTCTTTGATTTTAATATTGGCTTATATATTTTCATTATTTTGTATTTATTTATTTAAATCTTCAATAACTTCATTTAATTTAATAATTTATTATCTTTAGTATAGATTTCCATTTAATAAACTATCTTTTTCATATTAAGTTATTAAATTAGTAATATTTTCTATTTATATTAATAAATTATTATATTGAATTTGAATTTTTTAATTTTCTTGATTAAAATGTTAATTCCCTTTTTTTAATATTTAATTACTTTTTATTAATTTTTGGTTTTCTTCTTCTAATTTTTGATTTTATTCTTATAATTTTTCATATTTTTATAATTTTTGTTATTCTTTAATTTAATTTTAACAATTTTTAATTATCTTTTCATATTTATTAATTAACTTTATATTTTCTTAGTTTAGATTTTCATTTTTTTCTTGTAAAATTTCTTTTTCTTTTTATAAATTTAAACATTTTTTTATTAGATTTTCATCTTCTAATATTAAATTTTGTTATTCGAATTTTAAATTGTTTTTAAGGTCAATTTCATCTTTTAATTTAATGTTTTCCTTTTGAAATTTCAAGCAATTTTCTTCCAAAGTTATATTAATTTCTTATAATTTTTCATAATTTTATAAATTTTTATCTTTTTCAATATTCATCAAATTAATAATTTGTTAAAGATTTTATTTTTCAACTTCAAAATTCTCCATTTATATAAATTTTTCCTTAAAAATATGTATTTCCTATTTATAAATATCCAAATCACCTATATGTTTGTTAATAATATTATTTTTTTCCTAAATAATCTATTCATATAAGTTAATTTATTATTTCAATTTTTGAATATCCTCCCTATCTCCATAAACTGAAGAAAAGGTTTAATTTCTTAATTCCTAATTTTCTTCCAAAAGGAATTATATTTATCCATAAAACTAACTATTCTAAACTTATAATTCTTATATTTATTTATTCAAATTTTAAATGAAATGATTTTATTTTCCAATTAAGTTTTTCTTTTTTACATTTTAAATATTTTTTTAAATAATATCTTGATTTTTTTCTTCAAAGGAAGTATTTTTCATTTTTTTACATTCTCCTCCTAATTTTCCTTATATAATATTTTTCTAAATAATTTCATTAGTATTATTTTTTTCAAATTTTATTCTTTTTTCATCTTATATATTTTTTTATAAGGATTCTTATTATTGATTTTTTTCAAATAAAATCTCATTTTATAAAGCCTAAATTTTATTTTTTTAGATTTTAATAACATCATCTTTTTATTTAATTTGAATAGTTTTCAAAGAAGTAATTTCTTCTTTAAAATTTTAAACCATTTTTTATAATTAACAATTTTCCTATGTAAATTTTTAATTTAGGCATTTAAGTTTATCATATTCACCTTAATTTTTTTTTAAGCTTTGCTTTTCAATTCCAATCTATTTTTATAAACTTTAATTTTCCTCGTTTTTCTCTTTTATTTTTTCTTCTAAAATAATTACTTTTTACATTTACTCAAGTAATTATTCCTTTAATATATCTACAGTTTATATCTAATTTTCTTTTAAAATTAAGCTTTTATCCTCTAAATAAAATTAAGATAAATTATCATCTGAAAAACTTTGGCATTTTTATATCTTTTCTATCTCTTCAATTAAAATTTCCCTTTCAGAAATTTTCCTTAATTCTTCTTTTTCTTATATTAATATATTTATATTTTATTACATTTATTATATTTATTATTCGAAAATATTATTTTATAAAATTTTATAATTTTATTCTTTCTCTTATAATAAACATTTTATTTAACTTTCTAAATTTTAAATATTTTCATTTTTTTCTTATATTATTTAATTTATTCTTTCTTAGTTTTATTAAATTTCTTAATTTTTTTATTAAATTTCTTTCATTTCTTCTGTATTTTATTAAATTCTTTTATTTTTTTCTTCTATTTCTTCGGTTTTTTATAATATTTATTTATCTTTTAAAATAACTTTATCATTTAATTATTTAATTTTTTAGTTTTATTTATTTATTTTATCATTTTTATATTCATTTATCTTTAAGATTTATTAACTTAATTATCTATTTTCCTCTTTAATTTAATTTTTAGTTTTTTTTATTTTTTCATCTTCACAATTGACATCTTTTAAATCTTAATTTTTCATATTTTAATTATTTTAAACTTATAATTAATCAAATTATTATTAAATCTAAATTTTTTACTGATATATAATATCATTTAAAGTATTTAGTTTTTAATTTTATTCTTCCAATTATAAATAAAGTTAACTTTTAATATTTTTATCGTTTTAAAGCATTTATTTTTCAATAATTTCATCTTTTTATAAAATTTATTAACTCAATTATTCCATTTCTTTATTTTTTTAGTGAATTTATTCATTTAGTTCTTAAATATTTATTTTTAAATAATTAATTTATTCTTTTAAATTATCTTAATATTCTTATAATTAATTATTTTTAAGTTAAAATTATTAAATAGTTTCTTTATATTTTTAGTTATCTAATTATTAACTTTATATTTATTAAAAATCCTCATTTTATTATTAAATTTATTCTTTATATAATTAAATGTTTTTTATTAATTTTAATTTTATTCTTAAAATAATTTGATTTCTTATTGATATTTATAAATTTCATATTATAAATTTAATATTTTATTTTAAAATTCTTAAAATTAGCATTTATATGATTAAAATTCTTCCTATTATTATTAATTTTTTTCCTATTATTATTAAATTTCTTATAAATATTATTATATTTATTCCTATAATTATTAACTTTAACATTTAAATTATATAATTTCTTATTTATATTATTAATTTTCTTATATATATTTTTAAATATCCTATATATTTTATTAAATTTCTTATTTATATTATTAAATTTCCTTTTAATAATTTTCTTCTATTAACTCTATTTTTTATTAACCCTTAACTTGTTTTTCCAATTAAACAATATCATTAAACTATTCCTCTTTAATTTTTTAATCTTCCTAATTTTTATTTTATAACTATTAATTTAAAATTTCCAAAACAACAACCTATTATTTAACTTCTTAATATTATTAAATATTTTTCTCTGACTATTCTTTGGATTACTCAACTAATGAATTTACTTATATATTCAAATTATTAATCATGTCTTATTTCTAAATACATAAATTTTTATATTATTCTATATCTCCCTATAATAAATCTACTTAATTAATTAGTTTTTATTATATATTTTATAGTTTAAGTATTTCTTCTTCTTTTTTTAAAAATGTTTCTTAGCTTTTTTAATATTGTATTTCTAAAATAAAAAATTAAGTTTTTATATTTTCGTTTTCTTTTTTCAAAAAAGACTTCTCGTTTTCAAAATCTTCCGTTTATTTTTATATTTATATTTATTTCTGGTTTATTAATTCTTCCAAATTTGCATTTTCCTTATTTTTATATTAAATTTCTTCCATTTTTTAACTAATTTCTTACTATAATTTTTCCAAGAATATATCTTTTTCTTTATTTTTTTCAGTAAAAATTCTTTCTTTTTCTCCAAAAAACATCTCTTTTTAAAATAATTCCTCTCTGAATTTTTTTTCTAAATCTTCTTAAATTTATTATACTAAAAACTCCTTTTTTTTCCCAAAATCTTAATTTTATTCTTCCAATTTATCTATTTAATATTGATAAAATTAGAAGTTTTATTAATATAAGTTTTATTCTTTTTCTATTTATTACAAAACACTCCTCAATTAATCCTAAAGAAGTAACTTTTCATTAAAAATTACATTTTTTTCATCCTTTAAAATTTTTAATTCCTATATAAAATTTTCTTATAATTTTTTTAAATATTCATTTTCATTTTTCAAATACAAATTTTCTCTTTAAATTTCGTCAATTTAAATTTTAAATCTATTATCTTTTTCATCTTCTTTTTTTTAAAAATTTTATTAAAAATATTTTAATTCTAATTCTTATTATTTTATTTATTCTTCTAAACCTCTTATATATATTTCTTTTTCATTTATATTTTACATTTTTTCTTCTAAACTTCTTATATAGATATCTTTTTCTTTTATTTTATATTCTTAAGATTATAAATTTTTGCTATATTAATTGTCTATATTCTATATCTTTTCTTCTAAATTCATTATATGTGATTATTTTTCATTTATTTTTTCTTATAAATATATATACTGAATATCGATTCCTTAATTATTTGATTGTCTTTCCATTTATTTTATTTTTTCCTATAAGCTTTTTATATTAATGTCTTTTTCTTTAATATCTTATTCATTTTCTTTAATAATTACTTATAAATTATTACATAAAATTTCTTTTTCTATAAATAAGTTTTAAACACTTAAATTTTCCTTTTCAATATTTTATTACATATAAAACTATAATTATAATTAATAATTATGATTTTCTTCCTAAAGATCCTTTATTTTAATTTCTAATTGTTTTTCAGATTATTCCTCATTTTTTCTAGAAAAAATATTAAAATTTTCTAATTCTTATTCATAAGTACTTTTCATATTATTCATTTAATTTAATAATAAATTATTTATTTATTCTTATTTTTAAAGTTTCATTTATAAAATTTCAATTTCTTTTTAATTCTAAAAAAATAAAAATATATATATATATATATATATATATATATATATATATATATATATATATAGTTTTATATATTTACAAATGAAATATCTTATTATTAGTTATTTAAAAAACTATTATTATTTTAAATAATAGAAATTTATTCTTAAAATCTTTTTTTTTCAATATTTAAATCAGCACATTCATTTGCAAGTTTAAAATTAATTTTTTTTAAAGTTTCCATATCTTTTTCAAATCCTTAATTTTGTTTTAGTTTTTCTACTAATTTATTATTTTCTATTAAAAGTTATTCAATTTAAATTTAATATTTTTTATTTTAAAAATTATTATGATTTTAAATATCATCTATAAAAAATGAAGTTTAATTTAAAAAAGACATATTACTATTATCAAAGCATTTTTTTTCATTTTTTTTAATAATTTAATCTTTCATATTTATTTCATTTTTTAATTCCTAAATTATTTTCTCAAAATTTTTTTATTTAAAATTCTAAATTTATACTTTTGCTTTATCTAATTCTTATTATAATATTTAAATTTATTTTTCCTAGTTTATATTCTAATTATTTCCCAAAATCTAAATTCTCTATAGAGAATTTGTTTTTTCTTATTAATAACCAGAATCATTTAAAAAAACCATTCCCCTTAAAAAATTTAATTCAGAATTAAAATTTTTAATCTCTTTCTAAAATTCAATTTTTTCCTTTTCTAAAATTTATACTTTTTTTTTTAATCCCCTATCCTCTTTAAAATTAAGCAAACTTTATTCAACTTAAAAAGATTCGTTTCCTTATTTACTCTATTAAATTAATTACGTATAAGTAGTTATAGTTTAATTAATATCTTCCTCCAATCTTTTTATTTAAATAATTAATTCTTCTTTATCTTATTATAAACCTTAATTTAATTATGATATATAATCAAATTCTCTTTTCATTCCTTCAAATTATATTATTAAATCATGCTAATTAATTCCCCATTCTTGATCAATTTAGTTTTCCAAATTAAACAAAATCTTATAAAATATAAAAACATAAATGTTTTATTATATATATATATATATATATATATAATATATATATATATATATATATATACTTTTTAATCAATCAAATATCTTTTTGTAGCAAAACTTTTTAAAATTAAATAAAATACATCTCTATAAAACCTCGACTCTAACTAAATTTAAACCTAAATTTTTCCATTTCCACACTATTAAAACAAAATATTATTTTTTTAAAAAAATTCCATTATTTTATCACTATTTTCTTCTCCATTTTATAATTAAAAAATTAAATTATTTCTCAAAACGTCATATACATTAATCTCTATATTTGGAAAATCTAACCAAAACTTAAATTTTATATTTTCTTCGTTCTATAGTACAAATTTAATGTATTCCTTTCCTATTAAAATATCCATTTTCCCCAAATTATTTTGATTTTGCACTAAATAACATAAGAATTTACTGCTTTCACTACTTAAAGCATTTATAATAGCTTATTTTGTAGTATTTTCCAATTCGACAGGTCCAAAAAAGACAGTCGCGACTCCTTAAAATTCCTCATCTTGTGGAAATATTTCACATTTAATAATACTATCAAAATCCTAAGCACTACATTAATATGTATTACTTTTAATATTCGGTAAAAAATAGCACCTGGATGCTTCTTTTTATCTATACCATTTATACGTTGCTGGGATTGTTATTTTTAAATTATTTGAAGTCGTAATATTTATTGCTATATTGCTATTTTAGTAACTGTTTTAGGAATTTCCCTTTATTTACACATCTATATAATAATTATAAGTTCCTTATATTCGAACTTTTGTTAAATCTTTATATTATTATTGCTCTTTTTTTTAAGGGCTTAATAGATTTCGAATTGATTATTACATATAATTTCTCTTATTTAAAAAAAAAAGTATATTTTTATATATATTTATATTATTTATTTTATTTTATTTTATTGTATATTATTTAAATAATATATTAAATATTTTGCATATATAATTTTTTTTTATTAATTTCTCTTTTTTTTTAAAATAAATAAAAAATCTTTTTAATTATAATTTAATATAATATTTATTTTTTTTATATTTAAAAACTCTATTTCTATAATAAAACATGAATACTTCATATATTCTTTTAATGTAATTAAGATTATTATATAATTTATCTCTTATTTTATATATATAATTATTTATATTGATATGAAAATGATACTATTCATATTTTAATATAATTTACAATTATCTTTAATTTAATAAAAAAAAATATTGAAATAAATCTATTTATATATATAATCAAATAAAATTAATAATGACTTATAATAAATAAAAATATTATTAGATTATTATTTTTTTATTATCAACTTACTTATATTTATTTATTATATACTATCGAAAATAATTATTATTTCTATTTATTATAAATACAAATGTATTTTTTTATTATATTAATTATTCTATCAAAACAAAATATATTGAAATACATTGTTATAAAGAAAAAAAGCTTCAAAAGATTATATTTATGATTTATTAATTATTTAAAGAATTAAAAATAAATTAATTTTTAGTAAGCATTTCATGAAAAATATTAATTAATTTTCTTAGATTATAAACCTGAATTTTTAAATTTAAATATTAATTTTTTATATTTGAAAAAATTTTAGACATAAATCAAAATAAGTATACATTTTTACATCCTATAATCAGTAAATATATAAAATAACAAAAAAAAATTCAAAAGAAACTATATCTAATTATAAATAAAAACAACTTTAAATAATGTAATAAAATTATGAATATTATTTCAAATTTTTATTTTATTTATATATATATATTTTTTTTTCAAAAACATTATTAAATTCTAAAAATACAAAAAAATAAAAAAATTAAATTTATTAAAACATATATAAAAAATGGCTATTTCTAAATAACATGAATTTTTAATAATGAAAATTATAACAATGTTTGTTCTACTTTTTATAAACACATTAGTTTTTTACAATTAGTTAAATATATTTCATTTTTAATATGAACTAAATCTTGAATAATATTTATAAAAACTAAATAATAATTGTAAAATTAATTTATTTATTATATTAATAAATATTAATATGGCAATAAGTATATTTTAATTTATTTTTATATTTTGCATATTGACAAATATCACTGTAAAATATAATTAAAAAATAGTAGAATCTTAACAAAAATAATAATATTTTTTTGGGTTTATTTAAGTTTTTATTTATTTTTACTCTATATGGCCTTTTCAAGAGTATAGTAAATATGGAAATGGTTTTTAACAAAAAATAAATGATACCATAAATAAATGTAATAAAAATTAAGAAAAAAATCATGTTTTTTGCAAATTTTGCGAAAAATTGTATTTTATGCTTTATTAGTCAAAAATATTAATTATAATGCTTATTTTCTGTCTGAGTTTTATATATGTAATTGAACAAATATAAAAAATATAAATTGTAGATGAGAAATAAATTTAAAAAAAGTTAGAAAAAAGTTTAATTAAATAAGGAAAAAAAGAAGAAAAAAAATAAGAAATAAGTATAAATTAATAGATTTTATATAAAAAAAAACATCCAATAATATTTTATCCAAGAAGATTTGTAAATTTATGTAATTAATAAAAAAAATATTGATATTAATTTTAAGATGATATAATTTTATATAGATATAATTTATATATATATATAATGTTTTTATTTTTTACATAATTATAAATATATTAAAAATATTATTTTTAAAAATAATTTATAGAAAAAAAATTAAAAAAACAATATAAAAAAATATAAAAATATAAAAAGATAAAAATATAAAAAGATAAAAATATGAAAATATAAAAATATAAAAATATAAAAATAAAATATATAAATAAATATATAAATAAATATATAATTATATAATATAATTATATAATTTTTTTTTATAATTATATAATTAATAATTAATTTTTTTTATATTTTTATTATATATAATCTGTAAATATATTTATTTTTTTATTTTTTTTAGATATAATTTTTATCATATATATTTTAAATTTAAACTATTTATTATTTTTATTTTATATTTTTTTATAATAAATACATATTATAATTGGTTGTATGGTGTAGCGGTTAGCACCGAGGACTTTGAATCCTCTGACCCGGGTTCGAATCCCGGTACGACCTATTTTTTAAAAAATTTTTTTGAATTAAAAATATACATAATATATTTACTTTTAAAAATAATATACTAATTATTATAATTTAAATTATTATATAATGTTTTTCTCTAATTATTCTAATCTAAATAAACAGCTAATAAATATTTAAATTTATCTATATTATTAATTTAAAAATTAAACAATTTAAGTTTATATTATTATATTTTTTTTATATAAAATTTAATATCTAATTTATTTTTTTAAATTATTATTTTAATAATTTAAACTTTATTATTTATATTACTTTAAAAAGTTTATTTTATTAATTAATTATATTTTTTTTATCTATTAAAATAATATATTAATTTCTTTTGAAAATATAAAGTGATAAATTATATTTTTATTTTATTAAATTTTAAATATTACCTATACTATTATATATTCGTAGTTTACTAATTATTTTTATAAACTTTTTTTATTTTAAAAAAAAATTTTAATTTTAATTTTTATTGATTTTTTATAAAATTTATATAAAAATATAAATAAGAATATTTTATTTATATTAAATATTAATAAATAAAAATATAATAAAAGAATTATAACTATTATTAAATTCTTTTAATGTCTTATTTTTAAGTACAATAAATTAACTAAATTTAATTTTTTATAATTAAAATAATATTAATTATGATGTAAAATGATTTAGATTTATTTACTTTTTATTTAAAATGTAAAAAATATAATTCGAATATAATTAAAATTGTTATTAAAAATCATAATATATATAAAAAAAAAAAAATATATTAATAGTTTCATTACATAATATCTTAAAATTATAACTAATATATTATATTTTGCATTATTAATATATAAAAATATATATATATATATATATTATAATATATATATATATATATATTATTTTTATTTTTAATTTTAAATAATTTTATATTCACATTATTAATTATTATTATTTCTTAATTAAAATTTCAAAGCTAATTATAAAAATTTCTTCATTTAGTTTTAATTAAGAAAATTAAAAAGAAAATTATTATATTATAAATAATATAATTATTATTCATCTCAACATAATAAAATTTTTAAAATATAAAATATTTAATAATTTAGTTTTTAAAATAAATAATTTTAATTAAGTTTATAATATAATTTTTAAAAAAAATTATATAAAAAATAAATAATAAAATTTATATAAAATAATAATATATAATAAATACATATATATTTTTATATTAATCTCTAATTTATTTTATTATTTTTATTTTTTTTTATAATTAAATTTTTTAATATAAAATTATTTTTTAAATAAAAAAAATTATATATAAATAAAAAATGAATAGTATAAGAGCTAATAAATCAAAAAAATAAGAAGAATAAGACGCATATTCATTTTTAGAAAACGATAGTACAAACATAATGGAAACCCCAAAAAAACTAAGTTCCAGATAAAAAAAATTTAGTTTATTAAGTGGAAAATTTGGTGAAATGAGAGGAAATGCATTTAATGGATTTTTAGTTGGAGCAGCAGTAGGATCAATGATGGGTGCACTAATTGGAGCAATGGCAGCTGTATAAACAAGAAGACTTATTTATTTACCTGTTTCTATTATTACTTCGGGAGGTTTCTTCGGTTTTATGATGATGTGCGGCTCTATTGTAAGAGCAGATAGTATGGAAGAATATTTTATTTAATAAAGCTTTTAATAAAAAATGTACTGGCGTATAAAACATTAAGAATGAAAAATGATAAATTAAAATTATTAGTTATAGTTGCATTATTTTAATATGTAATTTTTATTTTTATTTATATTATGACTATTTTTTATACTATTAAAAATATATATATTTTTATTAAAATAAAAGATAAAAACTAAATATAATTATATTTAATATTTATTATATAGAGTTTTTTTTTTTTCCTATAAATCACATACTATTTTTATAAAAATTCCAAAAAAACTTTTTTAATAAGTTTTATATAAATGTTTTTTTATAATAAAATTTAATAAATATTTAACTTTCATTCTTAATTCCTATATCTTTTAGAAAAAAAAAAAATAATATATATTTTTATTTCTATTATATTCTAAAAACTTTTCATTTTTTTTTTTTTTTTTTTTTAATAAAAAAAAAAAATATTTAAACTATATACTTATTTAAAAAATACTATATTTTTTATTAAAAATACGAAAAAATGCAAAATTTTCACATTGTGGTTTTTTATCATCAAAAGAAAATTATAATATAGCAAAAAAATTAGATTTGACTTTTAATTATTTATATTACACATAAATTACTAAAAAAAATAAAAGAAAAGTATAATCGGAAAAATTCTTAAAAATATTCACGTTTTATAATACATATTTTATCCAATAATAATTTTATTAAAAATCTTGAATGTAATTTTTCCATTTCCTTATGGAATAAATTCTTTAAGCATAACAGCAATATTATTATCTGAAATAGTCCTTCCATTTCTAGTAAATACTTCTTTTAAATCTTAAACCGAAATTTCATTATTATTATTTCTATCAAAATACTTAAAAAATTATTATATTTTTTCCGTTTACAAATCAACAATTTAGTCCAAAGCAGCTGCAATAAACTCACTATATTAAATAATATAGTTAGAACTTGAATTCTGTGAGATATTCTTAATTATTTTTTATAATTCACTCTTAGTATATTTACATCCAGCCTCTTACATTACTTATTACAAATCTGAAATTTCAATAATCCCGGAATAATTAAAATCCAATAAACTGAATGCATTGTTTAAAGATTCTATTTCTTTTTCGTCTAATTAATTAACTAAAACTTTCATTAATTCAGTTTTTAATTTACTTTAAGGTTTGTAATTTTTTAACATATTAATTATTTTCGGATCTATTTATTAATATATATTTCCAATTGATTTTTTTTATCCATTTTTTATTAAACTAGTAGATTCTCTCTATATTCTTCTTGAATATTATAAAATCCAAGGATGTTATAAAGTCTCTCTTATTGATATTATTTTCTTACTATCAATTACAAGAAATTTTTTCACTAAATCTTTAGCTGTTTCAGTAATATTATCCCATTCTTATCCTATATATACATATATATTTATTTATTATTATTATTTTTTTGTTAAGAAAAAAAAAAAAAAAAACCTTTTAAAGAATAATCTACTTATTAAATTTTTTAAAAAATTTCATTTTTATTATCTCCATTGAAAGGAGGATATCCAACTAACAAAATATATAAAATAACCCCCAAACTCCAATTATCACATTATCGATCGTATTTCCCTTATATAATATTCGGAGAAACATACAAAGGAGTTCCTACTACAATATTTAGGTCTTTCTCATCACATTTACTCGAAAGACCAAAATCGATAATTTTTATATCAGAATTGTCTGATTTTGAGGCAAAAAGAATATTTTAAAGTTTCAAATCTCTATGTAAAATTCCCCTATTATGCATATAATTAACTGCATAAAGCAACTTTTCCATTATTTAAGCTACTTCAGATTCTTTAAAAAATTTTTTTTGAGTAATTCTTTCTAAAAGTTCACCACCTTCACAATATTCCATGCAAATGTAAAAAAACATCTCATCCACATAAACTTCGTGGAATTTTATTATATATGGATGATCCAAAGAACGAAGAATTTCTAATTCTCTCAAAAAACTTATTTCATTACTTCTTAAACGGGATCTTTATATTATTTTTATGGCAATCTTTTATTTGGAATTATTTCTCATTTATGCTAGTTTTACAGTTCCGAAACCACCTTTTCCTAATACAGATATAAACTTGTAAACTTAACGAATGTTTCGTTTTGAATCTTATAAAAAATTAGTTAATTAGGCCTTCTTTTTTACTAATTTTACTTAGTCTAAATTATGTGAGGAACCACATCCCATTTATTTATGCTTTATATTTTTAATTTAACTTTTTTTTTTTGCTTATAATTTTTATTTTTTAGCTTTTTTTTTATATTTAATTAATTTACTAAAAAATATATTAAATCATAATAAATTACTATTTCATATTATTTTAAATCTTTTAAGAAAAAAAATAATAATTTATTTTGTTTAAATATAATATTTTAAAAATTTTTAATAGTTATTAATTAAAAAACCAATTATTTTAATTACATAAAATTATTTTTTATAGATTTAGTAATTTTTTTTTTTTTGGCACTTATATTTAATTTAAATGTTTTAAAAAAAAAATTGGAAAGATTTAATACCTTTTTTTTAATTTTTTGTTTGAAAAATTTTTCAAAAAATTTAAAAATAATAATACACCAAAAAAAAAATTAAAAAATATGTCTTCAGAAAAAAATATATATGTAAAAAATGAAATATAAGAAAAATAAGTAAATAATATAGAATTATAATATTTAAAAAATTAAAATATAAAAGCTATCTGCATTAAAAATAGATGATAATTTACTTTAGAATTTAAGAAAAAGCAAACTTTTTTTAGATAATTCTTTATAAAAAAGTATATCATTAGATGAAAAATAAATATTATAATCTCCGTTATCAAACAAGAATTTTCTAAGTCTATTAAAAACAGAAAAACAATAAGATTTTACAATAGGGAAATATGAATAATAACAGGAAAAAAAATCAAAAAATAAATCATAATCAATAAAAAAATAATATAATTCAAAAAAAAAATAAGGAGAAAACGTGAATATATTTTTTTAATAAGAATAAATAATTTAAATACAACATTAAAAAAGTAAAAGCAAAATAATAGAATTTGAAAAAGTTTAAAAAAAAAATTCCGAAGGAAGTAAAGATAATAAGTAAAAAAATAATTATAATAATTGTAATATAAATAAAGATAAATAAAATAATAATAATAATAATAATAATAATAATAATAATAATAATAATAATAATAAATCAACGAATGTAAGAGTTAATAAATTTTAACATAATAATTAATAAAAATATAATTAAAAAAATTAACAAAAATTACCTTTATTTAAAGATCTAGAATTTGAAAACAAATAAGAATAATAGAAAAAACAAATAAGTAAACCAACTAATAATAGTATATCTAAACAATAAACTTAGTTTGCTGCTAAAAAAATTAGAATGACCTCTAATGAATAAATAAGAAGATCAATTGTTAATACGAATTAAAAAAAAAAAGATTATACAAATAAATAAGCTAATTAATAGTAAAACTTTTAGCCTAAAATAATACCATTAATAAAATGCATATATTGCTTAAAATTTATTTAAGAAAACGAAAAATCTACATCATTTATAAAATGCTTACATAAAGCTCATACTGTAATTATATAAAATATTTTTTTTATTTTAATAACTTTAATATAAAAGGATTGTACACCATAAGAAAAAAATGTTAGATGTATAAGATGCAACCCTTTGAAAAACAAATGAATATATATTTTTTATTTAATCTTAAATATACTAATATTATTCAAAATCAATATATATACATATATATATTATTATATTATATTATTTATATATATTATATCTAGTTTATAATTAATTTTTTCTAGTAAATATTAGATATTTTTTTAGGTATAAAATATATTTAATATTATACTTTTATGCATAATTTATTTTTAATTAATTATTATTAAAATATCTATCAAAAAAAAGTTAATAATCCATTTTTTCATTCATTAGTTTTTAATTATGTTTTATTTTTTTAAATGTTAAAAAGAAAATTATATTTTAATATAATATTATAGTAATTCATTAGTATGTATGTTTCTTTTATACATTATATAAAAAATATTAATTATTATAATAATTATAATTATATTGTATTAATAATAGTATAACAAATAGATAAATATATTACTTTAAATCTAAATTAAATATATATACATTAATAAAAGTAAAATAAAGAATATAATAAATGCATTAAAAATTTATAATAATTTTAGAAAATACTTATTTTATTTATATAGATATAATAAAGTAAAAAAAAATTCTATAGGTTGCTTATAATAAAAATATAGATTTTAAATGAATATAATTTTTTTTTAATAAAAAATATATGAAAATACATAATATATTTAAAAAATACTTTTAATAATGTATAAAATTATATTTATTAAATAATATTGATATATATTTATGATTTTTTATAAAATAAAATGAAAAACATTTATTTTTGTTTTCAAAATATATTTTATTAATGAAAAATAAGATAGAAATAAATTACAAATTATTTTACTCATTAAAATACTTTTAATTTTCTTATTATAATTAAGTTTTATACATTGATTTTACTTTATTTAATTTACATTAGTTTATTTAATTTATATTACTTTATTTCTTTATTTTATTTTATTTTATTTTATTTTATTTTATATTATTTTATATTTTATTCATTTCATTTATTTTATACTTTCTTTTGTTAAATAATTTTATTCGTTTCAGATATGAAGAAATTCATTATTTAATAAAATTCTTTTTCTTTAATTTAAAATTTAGCAATATTATTTTTGTTTTATAAAAATTATTATTTTAGTTTCACTTAAAAACATTTATTTCATTTTAATATTTTTATTTTGAAGTTTATATACGATTTTATTGACTTATAATTATTTTCTTACTAGTAACTTTAAAATATTTGAATATTTATTGTTATAGATGATTTGATTAAATTATAAAAGAATTTTTTTTATTAATCAGGATTAGTTTATTTTTGTGTATTTTTAATTTTTAGTGTTTAAACTTAATAATTATTTTTTCTTTAAATTCATTTTTTTTCTTGTTATTATCTTATATTAAATTTAAATTAATTTTTGAATAATTATATATAAAGTAAGAAATATCTAATAATTTTCATTTTGAAGTAATATAATAGTTTTGGTTTTGTAAATTAATTATATTAAAATAAAAAACATAATGGTTATATAGAAATTAGATAAAATTTTATAAATATTAAAATTAAAAAAAAACTAATTTAAAGAAATAAATATTTTTATGTGAATAATAATAAAAACTATATTAATATTTAAATAATATGAATAAAATAAAAATGTAAATATATTTGCATTTTAAAAAATGATTGCTTAATAAAAATGATTAATTTCTTTTTAAGCTGTATATTTTTCTAATTTAAATATAAATATATCAATTTATATTTTAGTATTCTATAAATGAATTAATATATTAATAAAAATTAATATAAAAAATATTTGATAATATTATAAATATGAAAATAATAAATATTAATGTCATATTTTTTAAATATTTTTTTTTATATAAATAATTTTTAAATAATAAATTTTAAAAAGAAAAAAAAAAATGATATCATATTTTATTATTTAATTATATAAATTTAAATATAATTAGTTATTTAATAAAATAATATATTTATATATAAATTTTATACTTAAGTATATTAAAATATTAATATTTTAATGTATATATAAATTTTATTATAACAATCGTAATTTATAATGAAATGGAATATTATTTTCAAAAAATAATATTTGTTTTGATATGTAAAATATCATAATTTATCAGAAACAAAAAAAAAAGATTTTTTTATTTTTTATATAAAAAACCTAATATTATTTATTATATTTGTAATATAACAAATATTTTTATATTTTAATATTTTTACTTAAAAAATTCTTTTTCATTTTTATATATTTTTTTTTTAATTATTTTAAAAATAGTTTGCTTTTAAATTTATATTTATTAAATTATAAAATATATATTATACATAAATTACTAATATAAAGTAAATATATTAATATCATTATTAATGACTAAATATATAAAAATATACTTGATATATATAAATATAAAAAAAAATTAGAAGCAAAAAAAAAAAGAAAAAAAATATATAAATTCGTACTCTAAAAAAAAAAATGAGCAAAAATTAAAAAAAGCAAAATAAAAATTAAAATGAACAAAAAAAAAATAACTAAAAAGCAGAAAGCGACTTAGAATTTTTGCAATAGTACATAAAAGAACAAGAAAATACCAAGAGTGCATAAAAGCCCTCTTAAAAAAAGGAAGAATAATCTGATTAAAATTCTTAATAAATAAACTAAAATACATATGGAAATTTAGGACCTGCCTATAAGGAAGGTATGGAGTTGATAAATACGAGATATTAAGATAATTCAGAAATAATTAATTTAGGGTAATTTATAAATAAAAATTAAAAATATATTCTATATAAATAAATTTTAAAAAATAAGATCGTGGTAAGAAGGTGAAACAAAATAAACAAGCCCACCCACAATTCCAATAGAAAAACAATATCCAGAAAAAAATTACCCACAAGGATAAATAATGGAATACACAAAAGATTAAGCGTTCCGTACATCATCATAGGAAATGAAAGAAAGAGAAAAATTGATGGATCATTAAGTAAAATAAAAATAATACATAAAAATATAAATATATATTTATAAAATAATTAATAATAAAAAAAATATTTATATATGAATTTATAAATATATAAAATAAAAATCATTCTAAATATATACTTAAATATATATATATTTATATATAAATATGAATTTATATATATATTTATTTATAAAAAAATATATTAATAAATTATTAATTAGATAGAATGCTTAAGAAAAGCTGCTGAATGTCATCGTTAAGTAAGAAAATACTGCCAACAAATAATCCGACCTGGCAAGCGTTTAATTGATATTTGTGAACAAATTGAAGAAATGAACCGTTTTCTCATTTAAGAAAATGGTCTTGAAGCTGGTATAGCATTTCCTACTGGATGTTCCCTTAATCACGTAGCAGCTCACTATACTCCTAATAATGGAGATTTTACTACTATAGAATATAATGATGTATGTAAAATAGACTTCGGGACTTAAGTAGAAGGTAGAATTATAGATTGTGCCTTTACTGTCGCCTTTAACCCTAAATACGAGATGCTTTTGAAAGCTGTAAAAGAGGCCACAAATGTTGGTATAAGGGAAGCTGGAATAGATGTAAGAATTCCTGATGTAGGTGCCGCTATATAAGAAGTAATGGAGAGTTTTGAAGTAGAAATGGATGGTAAGGTTTATCCAGTTAAAGTTGTTAGAAATTTAAACGGACATTCAATTGATCCTTATAATATTCATGCTGGAAAAAGCGTACCTTGTGTCAAATCTGGACCAAATGTAAAAATGGAAGAAGGAGAATAATATGCTATAGAAACATTCGGAGTTATTAATGGAAAAGGAATGATTTTTGAAGATGGAGAATGTTCACATTATATGAAGGAGTTTGGTAAAGAAATGGTACCTTTAAGAATTCCTAAAGCAAGAAATCTCTTGAAATTTATAGATAATAATTTTGGAACTTTGGCATTTTGTAGAAGATGGTTAGATAGAGGAGGATAAACAGGACATGTTTTGGCATTAAAGTAATTATGTGATGCTGGTATTGTTAATCCCTATCCACCTTTAGTAGATATTAGAGGAAGTTATGTTGCTTAATATGAACATACACTTATTCTTAAACCAAGTTGTAAGGAAGTTATAAGTAGAGGAGATGATTACTGAAACATTTTTTATATAATTGTAATTTTTGTGTGTGATTTTTATGAATTTTTTTTTTTTTTTATTTATTTTATTTTGTTTTTTTTTTTTTTATATTATTAGTTAAATATGTAAAAATAAATAAATTATTATAACATTTTGTTTTATTTTATTTTTACTTTTTGGAAATAAATATTATATATTTTATTTTTTTAAAAAAAATACATAATTTAAATTATTTATTTTAATTATTTCTTCTTAAAATAAATAAATATCCAAAACTAAAATTATTATTACTTTTTTAATTTTTAAACTAATTTTTTTTCTCCTTTTATTTTCTTTTATATAAATAATTATTAAAAATTTTTACTCTTATAAAAATTAGTTTTTAAAAAATTAAAAATAATTGTATATAACATGTATAATTATTTATTTATATTGTTTTTTTAATTAAATTTATTTTTTTGTAAACTAATATAATATATAATAATGATAAAAAAATATGAATAAACTTTTTTTATTAATGATTGTATTTATTAAAAAAAAATTAGAAAAAATATAATAAAAAAATAAGATTTATAATTAAAAAGTTGAAAATAATATTTTGTATATAAAATAATTAAATAAAAATAAAAATTTGGAGAAAATTTAAAAAAAAAGGATATTTTATATAAAAAGAAAAAATTAAAAAATAATTATTTATTTTAAAAATGATTTTTAAAAATAAAAAAAAATAGAAAAAATATAGAAATAAAAATAATTATTATAAATAAAATTTAAAATAAATAAAAAAAAAATAATATAAAAAAAATAAAAAATAAATATAAATATATAAATATTAAATATATATATATATATATATATAAATTTATATAATATTTTATATTTTTTTTATTTGTAATTTTTCTAGCTTTTTTTTTTCTTTTTCATAGTTTTTTTTTCAGTTTTTTTTAATAAAAAAAATCTATTTATTAAATCTTTCATAATAAATATATATATTTTGAATTTTAAATTATTATTATATAAATATTTTAAAAAACACTTTTTATATATTTATTTTTATTAAAAATATATTTTACCTTATTATAATAAAGATTAAAATACTTTTTAAATTTTTTTTATTAAATTTATAGATTTATATAATTTTCATTTTAAATTAATAATTTTATAAAAATTAAAATTATAAAAATATTATTAAATATTTATAATACTAAATAAATGATAACCGTAATTATTATAAGTTTATATAAATAATTATATTTTTTTAAAAAAAGTACCCTAATATCGAAAAAGAATAAATTTTAATTAATATCATGTAAATAACCGATATTAAGTAAAAAGTAAAAAAATTTAATTTTACATTAATTTTAATTATATTTTTTTAAAAAAACTATTATATATTTTTTAAATATTTTAAATAATAAAAAAATATAGATTATATGTATTTTATAAGAATATAAAGATAATAAAAATTTAACAATCTCATATTAGAAATTAAATAATATAAATAATGAAATGGATTTTTTATTTTAATCTTTTGAAAAGAATGAAGATGTAATTTTTTTTTTTTTTTTTTATAATAATCATAAATTAAAGAATTAATAAATACAAGACTAGATTAAAAGCTTATTATATTTATTAAATAATAATATAATCATTGAAAAAATTTAAAATTAATTCAAAAAATTACCAAAAAGATATAAATGTTAATCTTTTATGGTGATATAACCTGCAGAATAAATAGATGATGATATTTGGGTTATATAAAACAAAAAATATATATTTATAATTTTTTAAAGATTGATGAAAACATATAAAAATAAGTAATTTAAAAGAATAATAATAATATTAAAAAAGATACATAGACTATTTTAAACTAAAACTAAGAAAAATTATTATTAAATTAACTTTAATAATTAATTGATGAAACAAATATTTTAGTTGATTAAAGAAAACTTTTACAGGTATTCAGTTTTAAAAAATATTATTTTTAAACTATAAATTTTTAAAAAAATAAAAGGCAAAACTAAAGATAGATATAATCGAAGATATTATTTAGTCTAATAACTAATATTAAGTAAATAGAATATAAAAATAAAAATAAAAAAATATTATTTTATTAGTCATTAAATAAATTCAGAAAAGATAATTATTAGATAATAGATATAATTAATGATGATTATAATATAATAAAATATAATTTATAAGTATTAAATTAAAATGATGATGTATATAATATA